TAGATATATTGTTCAAATAAGTGCCATACATTGTACATTCAACAGTAACTGGTATACTATGAATGAATAAATGAAGGAAGGAATAAAAAGGTTTGATTCTATAATTATTTACTATTTATTATATTTTTTATAACTTTTATTTTATAACTATTCTTGAACTATTTACAAGTTTGCTTCCATAAAATGTAAACTAGTCTAAAGTTTGATGCAGGATGACTTGGCTTTGTTTTGCTCAATGAATAAAACTTTTGTCAAAGGATTTGTTTTTGCAGGGTCAAACTTTGCTATTTTTGCTAAGTGCAATTAAACTAACTCTTTATTTCCCTCCTTTGTTTTCTCCTCCCTCTTCTACAGATCATCTCGTCAACTGAGGTCACTGTTTCCAGGCTACTCGAAGGGAAGCAAGCATCGAGATGACGGCTTGAACTCAGATAGGATTTCACGGTATGATATCCTTGATGGTGATACAGAAAGGGTGGGGGGATTTGAGCCAAGCTCTACTTTGGTTTTGGCTCACTAAACTGGGGATAATGTAGGGAACGTTTTGGACATAAAGTGCCTTGTGACCAAGATGTCAATTAAAGAACAGCTTTGAATAAAATAACAGGGGCTAAGGGATAGAATTTCTAGCATGATATATACTAGTAGTCCATCACAAGGAGGCCAAGAATGGAAGAACAAGAAAGTCACACACTATCATGAAAGTTTATCAGTGTTGCAAGTTACATATTTCAAGTTAGTTCTTTCACCTAGAGCTTTCAACCAGTCTTTAAGGATAAGACTGTGAGTGGCATGTATCTTAAAGGATGGAAACTTGAAAGGAACAGTGTTATGCCTGTTACTCGACCATTTTGTAAGGAGAAAATGGAACACTGAACACAGATATGAAATGATCTCATCCATCCAAGTAACTGAACGGACTGGGACACACAGTATTAGGACTTTATCACCATCATGTAAGAGAAATGATGGAATATTCAGATCATTTTTTGTCCATCTTGTATGTGAAAAGATGGACAAGTCACTATTTCATCCATCTTAGTACAAAGATGGAATTCTATGATTTTTTCCACTGCCTTGTAAGAGAAAAGGCGGGTTTAGTGATGATCCTGTGGGCTGCAGCCATTCCTGAAGACGCCCACCACAAGAGACTACAACCACCAAGGACACTTCTGTGCACATAGAATAAAGAATTTTAATAAAGATTCTGAACAAGTGTTTGAATAAAGGTTCTGAATAAAGATTTTGAATGAAATAATCCTTCACTTTGGCATAATCAAAGTTGGATAGAACTTTCAAGTGCTTGAGTTTGGTAAATTGAAAGGCAGAACTTCCACATGCCTTTGACCTGCTCTCTGAAGTTCACATGCACTCTGACTTTAGACCAGGAAGTGTGTTAAAAACTAACTTAGACCAGGGACGTAGTTAGTAGTCTAAGTGTGTGATGTTTCAGAGAACAGGTCTAGTTTTCAAATTTATGGGGGGTGGGTAGATGAAAGTCAAGCACAAATTAGAAATCTTTTTCAAAATGTATATATACGTAATCACAAGGCACACCCTAAATTTTTAGCCTAGTCAACGTCAACGATCATCAAGAGGACACCTGTTTTTTTTATGTCAAGCCACTACCGAGATGCCAGAGGTGAGCCATGTAATTAAGGACTGCATGCGTTACTAACATGTGCTTTCTCTCCTCATACTTAAAAAAAAGGATCCTTTTCAGCGTGTTTTAATGCCATCTATCATTCAGGTCAAACCATTTGTGCGTTTTTGTACCCCATGATGGGCAAGGATCTGGGGTCCTTGCCAGAAACAAGAATTTTTTTGTTTGATTATACTGCTTAGTAACACAAGCTGTAAGCTGCGCTTGCGACTGAAATAAAGTGAGTGCCTGAGTTCTGTAGTGTGAGTTACTCGCGATTAGTTATAAGATAGAGGAAGGACTTTTCGCGACTTTTGGAGACGTTTTCTTGTCGATTTGGAGGACGAACGCAACTTTTTGTGGAGTGACAACTAATGTCTTCCAGCAAAACATGTAAGTATGACTTTGCAACTTTTAAAACTTTTTTCACTCCTCATTATTATCATCATTGCCTTTTTACTGAAACTTTTCTAACTTTTTGCAGTTCCTTTTCTCTACAGGACATTTATTATCGGAAGATGTCTGTTTCCTGGCTAACAAGAAAGCAACTGACTCTACCAGACCAAAAAAAATCAAGGATGAGTAAGTATCTTTTCCTGGACAGATTTTACTGGGTCTTTTAAACAGTAAAGAGGGAGTCAAAAGTAAGCAGACATCACTCAACGGAAGTTTGTACAAATTTATTTATCCAAAAACAACTTGCTGGAACGCTTCTCACCTACAACACAGATTCAACACCTTTTGATAATTTGCAGATTTATTTTGTTCATCTTTCCTCGTCGACTTGAAATTTAAGGTGTCTTTTAGAATCCCATGCATAGCCCTTAACTGTCAAATGCTGAGCAAAAAAGTAGCTACATGCTACAAAAACTTGGCAACATGCTAGAAATATGTAGCAACATACAACACATGTTACAACTAGCTGCTCCCATAGGGAGCATTTACTGCTACGCAGTAGCGAGGTGTCCATCTCCTCTGACATACGAACTATGGTTGACCAGTTTAAAAACTACCAGAACAGACATGCCTAATGCATGGATATTTCAACTGGGAAATGTCCTGGCAATATTCTCGTAGCTTACGGGATCATATTTGCACGGAAATCCTGTGAATATATAGTATTTGTTGATTTAGAGCATCTGTTATAGATTGAACAATGTAGGCTTTTGTTACCGCAAGGACCTTCAACAAAGTCCTTGGTTACACTGTGAAAATGCCCTGACAACATTGTTCTATTTAACTGGATGCCTGGAAACCGTGTTAAGAATCAATACGTGTTGATTTGGAGCAACTGTTGTAGATTTAAAAAAAGGTCTTTGTTACACTGAGAAAAAGTTGAAGCTAAGGATTCTGGCCAACTGCAGCCCGAGGGAAGAAGTAGAGCCTCTTGCGTAGGGTGTGCGTCACTTCCGGTTGCTGCTTGTACTCCTGGTTTTGAGTTTTGAAGTCTGCCACTTTGGCGTTTACCTGGGAATAGAAGGAAAGCGTCACTATCAAAGTCATTTACCCTATCAATATTGTATCCAGAACCGTTACTCTAGGAACTTATTAATCTTTGCCCAAATGGCAATGGGTTGGGATCAGGCAGGGTTCTGGATGCAACACGTCTGGCACTGGGCGATGTCCCTGGTGCTGAAATGGGGGTCCCCAAGGTGAAATATTAATGATTGTGCTTAGACAGGGTCAAAGTACCTTATTAAACAGAATTACAGCAGTGGACATACGAAGACGTTAGATTCTATCCATTGTGCTATATGATAGCCAGAGAATACGAGGTTAGCTCATACAGATAGAGTCCAACCATTGTGCTATATGATAGCCATACTTTCGCTATGTACACGCTTGCTGTTGCTACTTACATTTTCTTGTTGAGACGGTCTCCTCCGGGTCAAGGATGATCTACGCCCGACAACTGCAAATATTGAAAAACGGATAAAGTCAGTCATAAGGGGTAAAGCCGTAGTATATGATATAACGAAACATTCAATTGAATTGAGAAGTATCTACAAGGCTTCAAGCGTAAATATTGTTATGTGGTTACTTAATAGGGAGTAACAAGATCAATATGAAAGATTCTCTAATGAAAATGACATATAAACATACCGAACAATCTGGCCAGTCTGTACACAAGGCCTGCTGATGCTGTCTTATGTACAAACGTTGATGCTGTCTTCTTGACCCTGGGACACCTGACGTCACGGCCGTCCTCTGCAGTCCGGTCCCTCAGTTCGTGCTGGTACGGGTTGTCCAGTCCTGCCTTGATGCAGTGCGCACAGGTGACGTGGAGGGAGTACAGCACACCTGGCCCTCAGGTCTTAGCTCGGCTCTTTCTGTGTGTCATACTTCAGATGGGTGAATTAGAATGTATCCCGATCCTTTGCAATGTTGGCTTGGATAATGTCCTTGCTTTCTTGGAAATCGTCAGCGCTTACGCCGCCGACTCGTGATCTTGCTCTAGGACGTCTAAATGTTCTATCACAATGGTCGTGGCCTTCGCCACAAGGTCATGGACCTTGAACTTGTCAACGCCCTGATTTCCGCGCCCGCTGTGTCCACTGTTGCCCCTTGACCTCTACTGATCTGCTCCTCCAGCAGTGATGCCGCAGGCCTGCAGGAAGGCATTGTGGGATTCCTCCCAGTACCTGGACTCCACGAGCTCCCGCTTGAACCTGGCAGCTTTCTCGAACTCCGAGTCGCTGTGCTCGAGGATGTCCACGATTCTGTCTGCCCACCTCTTTGCATCTCCGGCACGATCGCGGTCGTTCACGCTGGTCTCCACGATGACGTTTCTGTGCTCTGCGCTGAGTTTCTTCTCCTTGATCAGGTCGAGGATCATGTCTGCCAGGCCGGTCTTGTCGGAGATGAGGACGGGGATGCCAGCGGCGATGGCCTCCAGGCCGACAAGTCCGAACGGCTCGGAGCGGGATGGCATCAGCACCAGGTGGGCTGTCATCATGTCGTCCCTGATGTCCTTCTGGGTCCCGTACGGCAGCAGGGTGGGATTCAGGTCGGGACTGTTCAGGGCGTCTTCCAGGATCTTCTGACTTGCGTCAAAGTCGTCCTCACTGATGCCGCGGACACACCACCGGGCGTTCTTGATTATCTTCACCACATCCCTCATGGACTGTCCAGCGAGGTCATGACCTTTCAGCTTCTCAACCTTCCTCACCCTGCCGATGGACAGGACAACTTTTTCCCCTCCTCCGGGACTCACATCGGCGTCCAGAAATATCTTGGATGGCTTCGGGAGGAAGATATGGTGATTCTGTGGTTTCTTCTTTCCCTTGTACTTGGTGCTGCAGTGGTCGTAGATCCGCTTGCCTACCGAGAAAGCTGCCTTTGCGTTGTGTACTTTATCAAGCATGTCCTCCTCTTTCTTTCGTGCTTCCACGGCCTTCCGGCCTCCCTTGTAGTACTCTGTACCCTCGGGTAAGACGTGGGTGAACATGATGAGGTTTGCCTGTGGATAGCGTTGATCCTTGATGTTTCTTGCCGCCGTATCTGTTATATCAGCATAGCCGATAATGCAGGTGACGTCTTGAGGAAGGTTTGGGTAGTGTTTATCGTGGTAGTAGGTCAGCCAGTCCAGAGTTGGCACCGAATTCTTGTCTAGTTGTACTGGCCCTATCAGCGTGACGCCATCTCTGTCCGCTGCATCCTGGTCTTGTTTGGTCACATGCAGGGCTGTGGCGTACATGACTGCCTTGCCCTTCACTATCTGGCTCGCCTCGCAGTTGATGGTGGAAATTCCTCCCTTGGAAGTCCCATACTCGTCGTTGATCAACAAGATTACCGGTAATCTGAGGCCTGTATTGCAAAAGCAAAGACTGTATTGAGGTCTGAATATAAATCCAGAACCCTGTTACATTACTTGAAGTCATTTGTATTAATGCTTAAATCTTTTTAACTAACTTATCTTTAACTTTTATCAGACAGTAAAAGAATTGAACGTGAAAGGTAACGTACCCTTTGAATGGTGGCCACCTTTTACAGCTGAATCCTCACGACTGGAGGCTCCCTCTGAAATATGAACCTTTGCTAAAACCACCATAAATTCTTTAGATATCATCCAATGATAAGCTACGCTTGTTATTTTCTTCTTTCCTCTGACATACTTTCTCCTGCACCGTTGTCTACATGTCTGACACATGTTTCAGATATTTCACGTTATTAGTCTAATTTAAAAATAACAGAGTGGTCAGTTGCATGTGCTAAAAGTACTTGTTCCAAACTAATTGGAGCATTTTTTTTTTAAATATTGTCCCTTTTATTCGCTTGTCGCTGTTGCTAGCTATTTCAGTGTCCTAATATATACATAATACTTCACACTACTTCAGTTTTCTTTGAATTGGAGTATTTGAGTTCAATGTTAATCGGACTGCGCTCATTAACCTTTCAACGTATCTGTACATTATCATATCGTACCAAATTTTGTTATTCCTTGTTTCTTTGTATTTCATTTATTAAGTGGTAGCGTCAAAATAAGTCATGTCACTTGAGTGCGCTATCACTTTGTCCTGTACCTTGCTATCTTTGTGTGAATTAAAAAAAAAACAATCTCAGTTTTTAACCGTCAAGACTCAGGCATGCACGATAATGTACACTTTCGGGGCTAACGTACTGTGTTGGTTCAGAGTATGCCATATCATTTTCACTACAATGGTATCTGACTTGTCATGTTGTTTAACACGAAGCTGTGTCTGTGCCTGTTAGGTGCTATTTCGGCTAAAACACATGCTTTCTACATCTTGAGCGTTACGGTGACGGCTTAGCCAGAAACAAGTTTCAAGTGGCCACCAACTAACCTGCCGGAGGGTTTCCAGATGCATAATGGTCCTGGAATTCTATAAAAATGAAACAAAATTGAATAATCCTTAAGCCCTTATCGCTGGAATCCAGAAGATCTACTCTCATCTATTGAGGGATTTATGCAAATCACCGGTAACGAGGTCTGTAAACATTGGGCAACTACAAGTCCTGAATTGGCTTGTCAGAAGGGCGAACCCTTTGTAATAACCAACGGCTAGTTGGCCAGCCTTTGCTACGTGTCTTTCACAATCAAAATAAGTAGAAAATTCTACGGCACATACATGTAATTTCTACCCACAGTTATACTATATATGTAATATGAAAGCTTACATGCACATCCCTTAGATGTGCAGCTGCTTTGTCAGATGTTCATGGTGGGTTACAGAAGGCCTCTGAGTTACTTAAAGATTGGACGATAAATACTGATTTAGTCTTGCTAAAACACAGTGCCTACATTACCTGGAAACTTGCTCTTGAGCCCATCCACGACACTCATCAGATCCACTTCCTTGAGAGCGTCCATCAGGACAGCCATGGTGGCGGCTTCTCCTTACTTTCTGCCACTCTTTTAACGCGCCCCAACAGCGAGACCTGTCATTACTGTTTCTCTTTTCAATGTCTTTTACATTGTCCCAGCTCAGCAATATGTCAGCAAGGTCCTTCCATTCGGCCGTTACATTATTCTTGATGTAACGGAAGTACCCGGTGAAGTCGGAACCTATGAGGAATACGGTAATATAAGAATATAATATTTAGATACACATATTCCAAAATACACCAAAACATGCACAATTCATAAGATAGGTTGTTGCAAATGTTTGCTACATTTTGAGTATAGTAGTCGGTGTAGCTAAAATGCCATCAACTAACCTGCCAACGTTCCAGCAACTTTTCCACATTTTAACTCCTCTGGAGGGTTTCCAGACACGTTGTGGTCCTGGTGTTGATAGGAACTTTCTGTAGACATGAAACAAGAAACATTCTACTTCTTTTGAGAAGTACATGATTCAATTCTAAAAAGCCCTAATATTGCGAGAATCCATCCATTGAGGGGTTTATACAAATTGCTGGTCTGTTAACAATGGGTCCTTCCATTTAGCCGCCACATTATCCTTGATGTGCTTTTGTATTTATTGGCAATGATGCGGGTCATTACAATGGTTAGTACAGGCAGTAGAGACCGGTAACGGCTGAGTCACAGGATACAGGCATAATACAAAGGAGAAATAACCTGCTGACATCTGAATTTATAAGGAATATAATGAAACGTATCTTTTCTTTAGCTATATATATACGTGTTAGGCATACGATACATCAAAACATGCTGTTGATAGGATAGGATAGGCTGTTGCACATGTTTGCTGCATCTTGAGTGTACGGCTTTGCAACAAATTGATCACCAACTAACCTGCAAACGTCGCAGAAACTTCACCCTTTCCGTCTTCCAACTTCTTTTGATCAGGTGCATCCTGGTCCTGGGATCTTTTGAGTTGATCTGAAGTTTCTGTAAAAATGCATCAAGAAGGACATTGCCCTTATTAACAATCATATGCAATCTTACAATGGATCATTCCATTCAGCCGTCACATTATCCTTGATGTACTGGCAAAACATTCTGACACTGAAATCATTAGGAATATAATATAACGTATCTTTACTTTAGATGCACAATGTCATGTATTCCAAATTACATCAAATTTACCATGCAAATTAAGTTAATAGGATAGGTTGTTGCATGTTTGCTACATCTTGAGTGTACGGCTTAGCCAAAAACAAATTAGCCTCCAACTAACCTGCCGACGTCCCAGCAACATCATCTTTTCCAACTTTCAATTCATCTGGAGGGTTTCCAGATGCATTGTGGTCCTCGGGTTGATCGGAGCATTCTGTAGTAATGAAACAAGATACGTTAGAATTGAATTATGTATTAAGCCCTAATATTATGAGGAACAAACTAAAAAAAAAACATTTACAAAAACACTATTTCATGGAGGTATGAGATCTCCGTATTCTTCTTGTCAGAATGTGCCAGAATCCATCAATTGAGGGGGTTATGCAAATTGCTAGTCTAATATGGCCATAGGTGCGATCCGGATTTTGGCTTCGCTACGTATTATCCTTGATGTAATGAAAAAACCTGCTGACATCTGAAATTATAAGGAATACAATAAAATGTATCTTTGTTATAGATACACAATCATATACTCCCAATTATAACATCAGATTAGACATGCAAAAGTGAACAAAAAGGCTGTTGCGCATGTTTGCTAAATCTTGAACAGCGTACTAGTCAAAACCATAAGCCTCAAACCTTCCAACGTCCCTTTAACTTCATATTGTCCACCTTTTAACTTCTTTGAAGGGTTTTCAGATGCATCGTGGTCCTGGGGTCTTTGAGGTTGATCGGAACTTTCTGTAAAAATTAAACAAGATGTGTAAGAATTGAATCAGGACATTGTCCTTCTAAGCCATTATTGCTAGAATCCAGAATGTCTACTCTCATCTGTTCGGAATGGCTTATGCACATTGGTGGTCTGTGATATGCAAGGTAAAAACCTATTAAATGTCCGGAAATAATTGGCCAACATTTGATCTACTAGTACCTTCGTCAGAGTCAAGGGACACCTGTGCTGGCAGGATCCGGCGCCAGGGATCAGTTATTTGTTTTTGATACATGGTAAGTAGTCTGAAATCGATGGCTCCCTGGTACATGTGCGTCTTCCTAGCTGGGCGCGGAGTGTTCGGAATCAGTTTAACGGACCACCTGTTGCACTTGGGAGGTCCCCTTGCAGCTGGTGGAAAGACGAAGCTGATACCATCTGAAACATCGTCGGGGTGTCCAATGACTTCTTTGCTGTTGTCAAACGTGGCGTTAATCGTATCGTCCCTGCCCATGACGATGCTTTGTTGGAATGGTGGGAGCGGCAGCATATTATTAGGTCGGAAAAAAAAATCGGAGTTGGCGTCCTTGTGAACACACATAAGGTGGATTTTGTTATTATATTTTGTTGCCTGGTTTGGGTTTACTATGAGGTACGCCTTGTCTTTAGTGTATTCGTTCCAACATGCTTGTAATGTTTCAGTTGTGACTGCAGTTTTGGATGCTGATGGGACATTTGGCTCCCTTGAGTTACTTTCATCTGCTGCTTCCCGATTGGATGTCTCATCTTGGTTACCCTTGATTGAGGTGGAACTTTCTCCGCCATTGCCACTTTCTTTGGCAGCGGCCATCCTAGAAAATAGAGCAAAACAGTGAAAAATATTAAAGAAAACATATCATTAGTAGATATGTAGTTACCCTCAAATGTGTGAACTAATTGCTCTATAAGTATGAAGCCCAGTGCATTACCTGCAGGAGTGCCTCATGGTGAATGTGACTGCGTCCTCTGTTTCATGAACTTCTGCCTGTAGCAGCGACCACTGAAAAGGATGTGATTTCCCCTCCATTAGGATGGTTTTGTCTTTGCTGCAGCCATGATCACTCTTCCTCCATGCCCATGGCAGGGTGACGCTAACGGGCTGTAAGAAGTCTTCCTCCTTGCCTTGGTGCACGGTCAGTATCGGGGTCACAGCTGAGAAAACCTTTGTTAAGGCGTCGTCAATGGGCAGTATATCGACCTCAAAGATAACAAAAAAATATGGGGTAAGGTAAAGAAAAAGGCTTTTGCTGGCTTTGCGTTGAACATAACTGTTTCATCCCTGCCCATTAATAGTGAGGATATAAAGGAGTACACTTTTTTTTTTTACAATAGTGGGTGGCATCTGGCTATATAGACACGAAATAGCAAAAGCAAAAACAAGCGCTGCAAAATTGTCTCTGTACATGTCTAAGCTACACATAGACCCACCAGGCTGGCAAGGCCAGGTACATATTAAGCGAACTGAAGAGCCAAGAAAGTAAGGTTAATTACCTCGAAGGAAAGGGGCCTTTCCATCTCAACGCATCCTGTCGGAAACGAGATAGTGACACCATCCTCCTCAACCGTGCAGCCTTCAGCTGTGATCTTGTATGTGTGCGGCACAACAGAAGATGACACCTATAGAAACAATACTATATCAGCCATCCTGTCTGGAACAAAGTAGACTTGTAGGACCATGAACATGCAATAACCATGACGAAAACTACCAAAATCGACGCACCTTCCTCAGGATTTGTGCAGCAGTAAGACTGATTTTGGTGCTGGACAGTGGGTCCGTGGTCATTGGTATCTGGGGGGATGACATATCCTTCATGTCCTCACAGCGTGATATGAACTTCTTCAGCAAACTTTCCCCTGTCCCTTTGGGGTATTTATTGTAAGCGAAGACCGGAAAGACTAGGTTCTTGTTCTGTACGTACAATCGATACAGCAGCGGGGGCCAGTACCTGTTGTGGAGACTCATCATTGTGATGATCGGTACGACCATTCTGACGTTTCGTTTAAGAAGATGACGCAAGAGTTCTTCTTTCAAGCTCTGGTCTGGTTCGATGGCGTCTTCAGACACTGTTACACCGTACCTGCTGAACGACTGGGATGCCTGTCCTTTTAGTGGCTGGACAAGCTTGTCACTGTAATCGTCGATGTGTAGTATAACAATTTCATTCCCTAGAAATAAATGTGAAACATCAATGTTATAATTAATGTCATACCTGGGCCGCGATAACATTCGATACAGATGTATCGGTCCGTGTGATAACTAGCAGGAGTTTCTATTTGCTTATCACACGGGCTTCCAAATGCTTCAATAAATCAAAGGCTTCAATCTACAGCAAAGAGTTCTATGAAGTTTTGTAAGTAATCTACCTCTCTCTTCTCGGAGGAACATAGGTGCTATCTCAGGCAGGCAAACCTCCGCAGACGCGCCCAGCAAGCGACGACACATATCTCCGGCATTGTTGACAGCAGCATTCAACTCCGTGTACCTGCTTTTAGGTGTGGACTCTTTCTTGATCCGTTCACACTCCTCAAAACTCAGCCCTCCGAACATTTCCAAACAATCCAGGAGAGGACTAATGTTGTGGACTACCTTCGGCTCCATTGTAGGCTTTATCATCGCGGGTCCGGAACCACCTGAGTTTTCTGCATGTGCAACATATTTTCATTAGTAACAATTTAAAACGTTATATTAAGAAGATGGGCTAGACAAAATCTGAAATTAAAATAGAGATACCTGCACGTGAAGTTCTCTTATCATTGCTGCCACCCATCCAAACGTTGATGAAATCTTCTGGAAAACTGAGATTAAAAACAGTATGTCATTAGTCATACATGATGATGATAGGGAAAAGTGAAGTGGACACCAGGCACCCTCTTGTGTATTTCATTACACAATTGTGCAAAAAAGAATTATGCGCTAATGAAATAAAATGGTTGTTATTCACTGAAAAACTACATGTACAGCCTTTACAACTGACGAATTGTAAATCTTTCTTATTGATTCTGCCCAAAAGAGCCTCATTTGCATGGATATCAGTTGGTCATATTCTTCGCAAGAAAGGCTATTCTAGCATTCCCTTAATTATGCAGATTCATGTTTGATAATTAATGTTCACCTTCACTTAACTTCTAAATTCCATAAATGATAAGTATAAAATTCTTGGTAGTTACCATG